CAAGGATCTCAGGTTTAAGAGCTAGTCTTTAGGGATTCTTACTTAACATTTTCTTGGCTGACAAGATTAGTATCAAGGTCTATACTGAGCACCAGTTCCTCTGTGGCCTTTACCACTTGTCCTTCTTATCTAGGTTAGCCAGAAGGTGCCACTCTGCTGCAAGGGTAATTAAACTCACTGACTAGATTGTGCTTATTTTTCCACCAATTTACAGGAACAAGACACAATCCTAGCACATTCAGTAGTTGCCTCTGCAGCCTTCTGGCAAAGAGTGACATTAAAAAGATATGTAGGACAACCACAGAAGCCTCTCTTCCTGGCTTAGAAAAGCACAATTAAATAGATGCCTATGTGTCAGCTTTTCATTTTAGAACAAACAAGACAAAAGAAACAAGACAAAGATGAACAGGCACCAGATAAATAACTGATTTCACTGCGGTATTTATCTTAGCAGGACTCAAGGCACAGTCCCACATATTTATCCAGTTCCTTTACCATGGCACACCACTCAAGCTTTTCTCTCCATAATTTCATCTAGAATACTTATTTCTAGTAAAGTAAATATGCCTCACTGGAGAACTGTTTGAGAGTATTGGACAGGTAATAGGGAGCTGACATTTTGTTCCCACAAACAGATTCTATTTCTAGTTGAAAAACAGACACAGAAAGCCTTAAAAGTGGTGATGCTCTGGAATGAAACAATTACTCTTCTGTAGCCTCTCCCTGTGGTGCAGTGCCTGAGCTCTGTTGTTCGTGAAACTTTTAGAGACCATTTGCTGCCTCCTATTGTTGCACTATTAATGTCATCACTGTATATGTTTTTACTTATGGGAGAAACAAGAATAGGAATCTTTTTGTACATAAGAAAATATTCTGCAAGTCCTTTAAAAAATTCATTTTTCACCATTTTATTTAGTACTGAGAGGCCCAAGTGCAAACCTCTATTGATCCATGGAACTCACGGGATGACCCTGATCAGGTCATTTTCTATTAGCCTTAGTTAACCCACATGGTTGTAAGAATAAAACTATGTACTGGGATGCTTACTGTATTTGGGCTCTTTAGGGGAAAGGAAGCTAAAAATATAGTAATGTATTTTAAATGTTTTTAAGGTGATGTTGATACACACACACATATTAACTGGGCTACATATTTTATCTCTTCAGTGACAGTTCTAATCTCAACGTTTTTAATATTTAAATAACTTTCATTTGTACCAGGGGTTCAATCATGGTGAGGTTTGAGAAAATTTACTATCAGGAAAATACTCCTGCCATGTTACCCTAGTCCCCAACATTTAAAGTTCTTCCATCAATGGAAAACCATTTAAGTTTCATTCAGTTACAAATTCATAACCTTTGACATGCAATGCTAACTAAAAGTTATTATAGTTCTGTAGAATTATAGTTACTAATGTAATGGTAGCTCTGCTGTGCTTCACAGTCACTAAGACATGTAGGAAACTAATTTACTGGGTCAGTTGTTGTCCCTCAAAATGTAAGACATACACTAACCTCTACACTTCCCTATGTGCTCCAAGATTCTTTCTTTCCTTTCTCTCTTAACTAGGGAAAGAGAGGTGATATGGAAACAGTTCCTGAATGCAAGACATACACAAGCCTGGATTGCCACAGGTTGTGCAGGCCTGTTCTAGAAAGTCAATATATTTCTCTGCATAAATTCTATTGTAGGAGTGTGTCTCTTAATAAACCCAATCTCCCATCCTCTCTAACATGGGCTAAAGCCAAAGGAAACCATAACTAAACCTGCAAAAATAATTAGCTCAAATTAAAGAATTGTTGATTCAATAAGGTACCATCACACCTGTAGGGTAGCTCAGACTGAAATGGAGATGGGAAGCCCGATGGGAAGCCCCCCACCCCCAATCAGACAAAAAAACTGGGGGGGGGATTCCAAAAAAATAGAAAATAGAAAAACTGAAGAAAAAAAACTATTTTTCCCTTCCAATTTTTCCAGTTTTTTTCCTAGACCTTTCCATATCTAGATTGCATCTGACTGTATCTCTTGGTATCAAGCCATTCTTCCTGGATTTTACTAGGCTGTTACTACAGGAATAAGTTTTTAATGAGACATACGTAAATTAGAAAATCTCTTAGTCACATATGCTTTGCAATTAAACGTTACAAATTTAGTGGCCAGTTTTTTAGGAATATAATGTTATACATAACATGACAGAATATGAGATAATACTGAGAATATGAAGCGACAAATACAAATGATACTATCTTTAAATTGGACCAAGATATGCATAAACCGTGGAATTCACTGCCACAAGATGAATTGATGTAATGTTATACATAACATGACAGAATTTGAGATAATACTGATAATCTGGAAAAGGTTAATAGAATGACCCATAGAATGAAGCATTTCTCAGAATGCAAATCAGGTAATATGAGGCGACACGTACAAACTGAAATTCCTACAAATAATACTATTTTTAAGTTGGACCAACATATGCATAAACCATGGAATTCACTGCCACAAGATGTACTGATGTATGTCAGTTGTACAGCTTTAAAGGGGGGCACATTTGTGGACATTAGGGCCATTAGGGACTGATAGTAGTCAGAATAGATGAAGTAGTGTATCAGTTGAGGGGAAACACAAAAGAAAATTTCTGTTGCACTCATGGTCCACTGGCTTGCTTCCCATAGGAAAATGGTTGACTGCTGTATGAAATGTATTTTGGTCTAGATGGACCACTCATCTGATTCAGTCCATGCATATATTGGTATATTATTATGTTCTGATAACATAATTGTCTCCTCATGTAAGGCAGAATAAAACTTAAGTAGAGCCCAAATCCGGCTATTCCATGGACTGTAGTCTGATATATCCTTTATTCCTTTTAGTTAGCCATCAAATATGTATGTTTTACATATATGGTACTATAGTAAATAAGATACAAAATTCATGGCGGAATGTTACATGCATAATTAGTCATTAGTATTACAGTTAGCAATTCTATTCATAAAATGGAAGTTATGACCTTAAATTTCTCAAAGGTCAAAACACGAAGGAAAACAAATTATTAATAAATATGCTAGCTACTGCCAAATACTGCTGACCAAAAATAAAAGGAATTCTTAAATCCACTAAAGATACACTGCATAGGAAATTCATGTAGCTTAAGACTATGTATAAAACAAGTTTAGTTTAATTACATGATAGAAGGTTTAATCCTATATAACTAAGGGTTGGAAAAAGTTCACTTACAGAAAGACAGAATACTTGAAAGTTAACATATGCGGGCACTAATAACGTACTCAAGGGAACAAACAATCAGACCAAATGTGGTGAATTAAAATTTCTGCCTAGCTGTTTTTGGACAACCAACCAAATATTACTTTGACATAATGAAGTATCCAAATGAATATTTTAAAACACACGTTTGGCTTCTGCAGGATACAATCACGGCTACTTTTCTTACAAATGGCTATACAGAAACTGACATGTGAAAATCAGTTCCAAACGTTTGCCCATTACATCAACTTTGAGTAGGCTGTGAGTGGCCAACTTAGACCAAACCTCTTATACAGACCTGCACATCTCGACAATAGTAAGGGGCCAATATTAAAATAGGCTAAACTTCTTCAGGCCACTCCCCCCCCCCTCAAACTTAACTGGCTGCAACTCCTCATGTGACCAGAAGTTTACTTTCTCTTTCCCTCCTCCCACCCTTCATAGAATAAGGAGGCATGGCCTGAACCTTCATCCTCTACTCCACTCTACTGTGAGAATGAAATGAAATTATTGTGGAAAGCAAAGTGTGTGTAGTGCAACTGATGAAAGTGGCAGCCTCTTCAGGCTGCCTAACATCCCGTGGGCTATATGTTGTGCAGATCTGCTCTTACAAATGCCTCTGTCCGTCTGTTCTACATGTAAATATTATAGAAATGTATATAAAACATATTCACATGAGCACACACAAATCCAAACTTAAGCAATTCAATTCCCACCAATAAGCAAGGGAAAAATAAATATGAAATTTTGTTTCTAATAATACTTAACTATTATGCATAGAATCAGTGTTTCAAAATGCAGTTTTTTCTTAACAAATGATTAGAAATATATAGTCATGATGGCAAAAAATGCAAACATTATTTATATTTTTAAAAATTCCAAAGCTGGCAGAAAACCGAAAGAAAAACTATTATATCAAAAGACATAAGGTGAGCGCAGCTTTCACAGATATTATGAAGCAAAACAATTAAGTACTTGGCTTTATATTAGAGGAACCCTAAGAGAGGTTATAGGAAGATAGGAAAATAATGAACTAATTGAGTTAATTTTACATATAGGAGTAAAAATACAATTATAAAAGGACAGAAAATCTCTTTCTAGATAACGCATGGATAAGCTGAAATAAATTGGAAAAATAAATTACTTCTGGAAATATCCCAATTTCTTTTACTTGAGTTTCATCCTAATCTCACTGAATTTGATAAGAAAGATAACACAAAACTAAAACAAAATGGGATGAGTAAATTAATAGTTTTTCTGAGGACTTCTCACTATGGTAACATGAAAGGGAAAAGTCCAAGCAATGAAAGTAAATTGGTATCTCTTTCTCAAAGGCATCTTCTTAAGGATACCACAGTAAGTCAAAATATGACTAAAATATGATGGTATTTGAATTCTATTGAGACATATAATCAATATAGGATTAGTATCCAAAATGTTACTGAAATAGATGACAAACTGATTGAAAATCACATACTATCAGGATAAGAATAGAACAAAAGCTATAATTTTAATTGACACATGCACAGAGAACGGAGTCATCAACCCTTAAGGACAGTTCCTTAAAACTGTTACACAGATGGTGCAATACAACAGCATATTTGGCAAGAATGACAAGTACTAGTAATAAAAAATATTGGAAAATTATCAACAATACTAGTATATTCATATATTGTGGTCATTCCCTATTTTACACAATTGGAATACAGTATTTGTAAAAATAAAAACTTTACCCAACAAAGTACACATGTCACACCAGCACTGCAACTTTGATAACCTAGAAGGAGCACAACAGAAAGGTGACATCAGAGTCCATCCTGATCACAGCTCACATAGTAATAAAAATGGGGAAACTGTTGAATTTTTAATACAGAATTCCTGGAATACCGAGCTGCAGTAGATATCAAGACAGGAAAATTAACTCTTCAATTTAAATCACCTCAAGATAAACCAAAATGATTTTTACACAATATTACTATAATTCCATCTCAGGTAGTTATCAAAAATTTATATTACAGCTATCAAAACTTTCCCCAGATATTAAACAAAAAATAATGTAAAGAACAATGTAGACAACTCTTCAAACTGGTAATTTTAATTTTATATGAAAACTTTTTTCTCATAAAAGAAAAATACAAGAAAGTCATCAACAGTTATCAATAACCACAATGTAATTATCTTTTCTGCTTTGCTTGTCTGTCAATATTCTTGAAGGAAAAAAAAAACACTGGTGCCTTAATTTATGTCAGTCCGTTCCCATACACAATTGAAAACTCTGGTTATGAACTATAAACTCTGGATATGATGTAGGTTCAGGCTATCTGAAGGGCCATATCTCTCTCTATGAAGGCATTAGATCCCTAGGATTTTCTGGAGAAGCCTTCACTCAATCCCACAAATATGTCAGACTCATTTGGTCTGAATAAAGAATAGGGTCTTTTAAGTGGCTGCTCCCTGACTGTAGAATTTTCTCCTTAGGGAGGCATATCTTCTATTTTATTTATCATTATAAACTTCTGAATATTGTAAATTCATTTTAAAATGTTTTATTAATTTATTTTAATTGTTTTCAAATATTTTAATTTATTGTGCTTGGAAGCTGCCTTGGGTGCCACCTCAGCAGGAAATCAGCATGTAAATTTTAAAAATGTAATACAATATAACTTTCCAGTTATTTAAGCCTCCTTTCTAAAAGATGTTCTTCAGTCCCAGGTGTCATTAAGTTATCCTATTCTCTACTTCTTTCCAAGTCAGCAACTATTTTTTAAAGACAAGATACAATTGTATCCTGGCATAATGTTGGGGATACCACTGTGCACTTAAAGCCAGGTATTTAAACATTTCTTAGACCTTTTATACCAAACTATTATTGTTTATAACTTATACAGATTGGGTATCCCTTATTCAAAATGCTTGGAACCAGACATGTTTTGGATTTTGGAATTTGGGGGATTCTGGAATACCTGTATTTGTCTATTCATACATATTGAAATATCTTGGAGATGGGGTCCAAATCTATTGCATATATGCCACACACATATACACACATATACCTGATATACTTGAGTATAAGCCGGCCCGAATATAAGCTGAGGCACCTAATTTTACCACAAAAAAACTAGGAAATCTTATTGATTCAATTATAAGCCGAGGGTGGGAAATGCAGCAGCTACTGGTAAATTTCAAAATAAAAATAGATACAAATAAAATTACATTAATTGAGACATCAGTAGGTTAAATGTTTTTGAATATTTACCGTATTTCAAAGAAAAACAGTAAACTAGCTCTGTAAGTGGAAAAGTAGGATCAACAAAAACAATATGGCATCAACAATAATTTAATAATAATAATAATAATAATAATAATAATAATAATAATACTTCATTTATATCTCACCCTCAGGCTGGCTTACAACACAGTAACAGGAAAACATTCAATGCATATATAAACAATGCAGAGCTAGATATAGATCTATAATTATATATACTAATTTCACATATGCATTTCCCCCTGACATGTTTGCAAATCCTCTCTCTATATATGTGCAGGATTTTGTTTCGGGGGGGGGGCTGAGTCTGAGTGAAAGAGGGTCTACCCTAGGAAACCTTTTGTATCGTTACCCCAATACCCCCATGCATATGGGATATATTGAATATGGTGATCAGATCATGATATGAATAAACATAACAGTTTAAATAATGCACCATTAAGGCCTTTTCACGAACCACCATGAGATTTTCAGGGGGGGCTGAAGCCCCTCAAGCCCCCCCCCCCCCCCCCGGCTACATGCCTGTATATGTGTATTTCCCTCCTACAATATTTGCAAGCCCTATATATCTATGTTTATATCTATCTAGACATCTCTCTCTCTCTTGCAGGGGGAAATGCCTATATATCTGTAGGAGAGATAAACGAATATTTCAGGGGGGAAATGATTTTATATGAGTTGATATTCCTGACTTGCAAGGACTTCTCTCCCTCTTGAGCAAGCAAGGGAGGATTTGGAAAAGAAAACACACTGTTAAGGGAGGGAAAGAAGAGAGAGAAATAAATCATACATTGCAAGCAATGGCCTCCAGGCTTCACTGTCTGCCTTGACAACATCATAAGCCAAGGGAGGCTTTTTCAGCCAAAAAAGAAAGGCTGAAAAACTTGGTCTATCTTCAAGTATATATGGTATATATATCCTGAAGGTGATTTCATATAATATTTTTAATAATGTTGTTCATGAAACAAAAGTTTGTGTACAGCTCCCTGGGTGTAGCCCAACCAATCAGCTTTGTGCATCTTACTTTACAGTTGACACACACACACACACACACACACAAACTGATTTCTTACAGGCCCCAACATTTTGAACAAACTGAAAATGAAAAGGCTTGCCCTTTCTAGGAGAGAGAATAGAATATTTAATTTTTGATGTAGAAATGCACAGAGAAAAGAGTTTGAAAAGATTCTGATATCTGAGACACTCCTTATATTAGGCCTGTGTGATCGATGAAAAAATGTTTCAAAACTCGTTAACAAATGGGGGTGCCATTTTGTTTCTAAAGTATTTCTAAAGTATCATTAGTGAACATTTTGTTACTATAATGAAATTTCATTACCGTTATTAATAATAATTTCACAAAGGGAAAACTTCAGGGGCTCATTTCTTCATTTTTATAGCTACTGGGGTGAAACTTGCTACAATGATAGAATACATTCATGCACTAATTTTTGGACGATTTTCAAAGTTTTAATAAACATTTTTATGAAAACTATGAGAGCCATCTCCTTGAATTTACTATACAGTGCCACAAGATAATAGGGGATCTTTCCCTCCAACCTTCAGAAATATTCATAAATCTACTTATTTTAGGGAATTTTTAGAGGTTTTCACAAAAACTTTTTTTAAAAAACAGCCATCTCCTTGAATGTCTCTCATATTAACCAACAGAACCTCCATTTAGGGAATTTTTTCCCTAGCCCAGCACAGAGAATTACTTACTAGCCGTATCAGTCAGTCCTCCTCTTTGCAGATTCAACAATTTATTGGAACTCTGGCTGCCTGTGGCTACAGAGGGACAAATTCCTCCCCTCTCCTGATTGGGGCTTTCTGGCGCTGAGCAGAATTCTGGGAAATGCAGTTTAGGGCAGGGAGTTTTGAATCCTCTGGAATATGACTCCTCACCTTCCCAAACGACATTTCCCAGAATTCTGTGCTCTCTCAGTCTCTTTCCCAATGAACTCTGCTTTCTCTTTGCTCCTTCCATCTCCTAATGGCAAGAGGCCATTAATTCAAAGAAGAATGGCAGCCTTTTTGGCTTTACCTTGCTTGCTTGCGCTGAAAATAAAATTGACTTTGGGAGGCTTCCGAGGCTTACAAAATTCAAACTAAAAAGTGTTGCATAAGTTTTAATTCTTAAGTTTTTGGCACAGGCCATGCCCACATGTCAAATATCACGTCATAAGTACAAATTTAACGAATTTGATCCAACTTACGAGGACTAGGATTAATTTTGCATGGCCCTATTAAACATATACATTATCTACAACTGAATTGTATATAAGTCACTGTCAATTAACAAAGAATTATTTAAGATCTCTGAACATTGGAAACAACTTAGCTGGACAGTTCTGTGAAGTTGCAATGATGGCAGCCAAAAAGGTCTTTTTTTATTGGCCCACACTTAATACTTTCAGATAGACTTTAGCATGTTTTCAGTCAGACGCACAAGTCTGTCCTCCTTCAGTTTACTGGTGCCAGCTCCTCAGAAAGCTCCACTCCATCAGAAGGGATAATGAGGAGCACACATGTGCGCTACCCCACATTCTTTCAATGTCTGAATAGCAACATTTTTTTTGAAATAAACATAACAATTGCTTTATTTCATTTATGGCATAAAAGGATGATCCTCAAAGTGCTGTTTCTGAGAACCAACAATCCCACTGAATAAAATTGAAGCAATGAAGCAACAGCACATAAAACCTATTTCTATATTTAATGAAATAATATTAGCAGACCAATAATCAGTATGAGATGCACTATGAACATCTTAGAATACATTTAGAATTTATGATATGATAAGATGAGTCATGCATTTAAGTATGAGTCAGAAAAGTGCAGAGGGAGAAATCAAATAATTTAATTAAATGTCATAATTATTGATGCAACCACGGCAGAAAAATAAAAGAGTTGGCTTTCCACTCATTATGGCACACTTGCATTCAATTGCCAATGCTAATTCACCTTCTTTGTTTTCACAAACATAGCTGAAACATAGTTTCAATTAAGCAACAGTACATGTTGTTCATTCGTTCAGTCGTCTCCGACTCTTCGTGACCTCATGGACCAGCCCACGCCAGAGCTCCCTGTCGGCCGTTACCACCCCCAGCTCCCTCAAGGTCAGTCCAGTCACTTCAAGGATGCCATCCATCCATCTTGCCCTTGGTCGGCCCCTCTTCCTTTTGCAGTACATACATCTGCATTTATATTTCTTTTCTACACATCATCAGACTGTCATTTTAACATTGTTGCTGCAGTATTCAAAGCACATTAAGTCCACATGATCTGTATTTCTAACACCACAATCAAATGTATATTAAAAACAACATCCTAATAGTGATTTTGCCTCATATACGTGTGTGTGTGTGTGTAGGTTTGTTTGTACCACAAAGGCTTCTACGTGGCTTGATGGATCTGGGCCATACTTGGGACTTTTGTTGTTGTTTATTCGTTCAGTCACTTCCGACTTTTAGTGACCTCATGGACTAGTCCATGTCAGAGCTCCTCAT